AAACGTTTAATACAGGACAAATGAAATAATTATGGAAAAACCTTTAGCAAAACGTTGTACTAGATTTTGAATTGATGCCTTGATATATTTCTTCTATTATCGATGCAGAAGCAGTAGGAGGTAATGTGTTTGACATGAAAATCAATACTACATAATTAGGATGTCAGTCAATTCAAAATATCATTGAATTTATTATATAACATTTTCCAATGTTATGACAATTTCTGTTGAAGACAAATTTTTACACAGCTACTCTATATATTAAAGTACATTTTTTTAAGTATTATCCATGTCTTCTAAATATACACATGTACTCATAAATAAAGGTTTGTTATCCAGAGTAGCTGAAAATGAATTACATTTAACTGAATCAAGTTAAGAAAATCTGTTTTGAAACCTTTATGTCTGTATGAATTCATTTCAAGTTTTGAATTATGTCTTCACATAATATTTTGATTTTTTAAAATACAGTTACACAACAATCAGGGTGAGAAGTATCTTTTTGTTTGGATTTATTCAGGTTTACCAGGCTATAAAAGCAGCTTATACCCAGTGATCATGTACATGTAGACTCATAGATTTATACAAAACCTTCAGTGCTCACAAATTTGCTCAAAGCTTTGCAACAATAGGTGGAGTGTTGGCCCTGCGTTGATATTTGTTCATGGATTAGAATCCTATACATCGATGGCCATAAATAATTTAATGCAAACACAATTATCTTGTAAGGTGTATTTAAAATCACTCGAGTGATTTGAATGAGACAAATATTTCAATATGTTTTGAACCATGTACAGATATTGTATACATAGAATGGAGATACCAAAGACAAATTTATCATTTCAAGTGAATTAATATACTTATTATATATAGATTATACCAAAGACATAATGCCTATTTGTAATCTATATGGGAGAGGTTTAGTATATTTTGTGTTGTATTTTCTAATTTTTTGCGATAGATGATGGAGACTGTGATGTACTTGTGTAGTGGGTTCACTTAAATCTGTGAGCCAGACTATTAACCGTATATACTGTATACTTAAGTTGAATACTGAAGAACACAAATACATGAATAATTTACAAAGACCTCTGGAAGAGTCATACATATTTAAGATCATTTCAACATATTGTGAAATTACTTTGCTGTATAGCGTACCCCAGGAATTGATTACTTATTGTATGATATAGGACCTACTCACTTGACTTACATGTATGTTTTGAATGTTAGGGAATATTGTATGGAGATTTTCCATCACTGACAGTGAATTTACAGACGGTATTATTTGTGTCAAATAAAATTGTGTGTGGATTTGAATAATGTTAATTTTATCGATGATGGGGGAAAATTGAACAGTTAGTGTTACTTGAGTTTAATATTTATATGATGTTTTCAGTGATGGGAATATTTGAAGTACAGAGCTTTTTATCATACAGATATTGGTCAAACAGCATTTCTAAGAGGTATGGTAGAGTTCACTTACATCTTATGTGTTACTTAGTAGTTATTTCAGTGTAAAACTACAGTATCCTGCAGATTTACACTTAATACCCATGATGTGTTGATATTTTTTGCATGACACTCGTATTTGTCATCATAAATCATACCATCATAAAAGATTGGCGATGTGGGATGTGTGTCTAGTAAGGTAGCATATATCCTTCCGATGAATGCAGGTAAAGGGTGGTTCCTGTTAATAAATCATTTGTAACAATTATAGACCAAGAAAATCAATTTAACCATCAAATTTATATAAGTTCATTTGATAAATGGTAAGTTAGGATTACTCTCTGGGTCAGGTGTAAATGTTGATTCAGTTGAATTCATTGGTAAGGGGTTGTGATAAAGCACACTTGCTAATTTGGAAAGGAGACTCACAGTATTCGGTCCAAATTTTGACAAGAGTTATCAAGGAATCTCCTTAATTCTTAAATAAAGTTTTCAAATTTCAATTTGTCCACCAGAAAGGGTTTCCTTTTAGAAGTTCATCTAAAGATATATTAGCCTTAGTCAAAATTAGATCAATGAAGGCACTTTTCTATGACTTAAATTTAAATCCACATAGTTGGCAGGTATGCTAAAATTTACAGAGATGTATATCACATAAATATCTTAACGTCACACATGTTTATAAAAAGCTTTCCACTTTCCTGAGCATTTTTAAAAAAGTTCTAGTTACTTGTACACCAGGAATATACTATGTGTTTGAAGATAAACTATTGATAAGTTCATGGATCGTTATCACAAAGTTCTAATCTGGTCTACTTAAAAACTTAAAGATACAATGGAGATTTGGAATGCGGAGAAGCTTAAAATTCAGGATACATGTAATTGACACGTTTTAAAGAAACGTAATCGTCTTTCGTTGTCAAAAGATCTGTCTATATTGATAAGTCCTTTTTGTGGTTAGAGTATGTTCTGTTCAAATTTCATACTAATGTTTCCAATACCAACATGTCCCATAAAAGTTTTATATTTATCAACTCTAGGTGAAATGTCCCCTGCAGCTTTTAATAGATATTTAAATATATAAACGTTGTCTAGACCCCCACAGTGGTTGTAGTAGGGATAGTCTATAGTGTGGGTGTTTTTTTATTTACTCTACAAATATTGATTAGATATATGTTTCTCTTTTTTATTTTACCTTAACCTGGTCATGGCCATATAATCACATAATTATACTGAAGTAAATATATTTGTAGTGTACTGTCAAACCAACAACATTGTAGGGAGGCACACTAATGAAAACAAATATGTCATGATTCACAGGAAGCATTTGATCAAATTATCATTGCATTAAGGGGTGAAAGACATGGAAAATATGTAAATGAAATAAATTGTGTAAGTATGGTTGTCATGATTGAATTAGAGATTTTCTAATGATTATACATGTATGAATTCTTCAAGATTCCTTGAATGTTGTACAGTGGAAACTGCTTAATATCATGTTCCATTTGTGAGGAGGAAATGTGATAATATGCAGAATGTGACATTATCAGTTGACATGTTTTTTCAGACATTTAAACCAGGATGTTAACTTTCAGAAATGTCGGACTGACTCGTTTCTTACAGAAAGTGATTGGAGGCAAAAGAATTGTAATACTATTTGTTTTCACAAATATGCAGATTTTTTTGAAAATTCTCATTTTGACTTGGTGATAGTCTAGAGAACTGAACAGTGAACACTATAGTGACAAACAATATAAATTGCCCTCACTGCATATCAATTATTCAGTGTCAATATTGCTTCCACTAAGGATCACATTTAATTGTTTATTATGATATTTTTTGCTTTTCATTGTATTGAAATCAATGTTTCAGACAAAAATTAAAACATATTATCATAAATCAGATTCTTATCGGAGATGTAAGTTAGGAGTTGTTCAGGTTTTCTTGGATATCAACATAATATTGATAGAAAATTGCGAAAAGCTTATCTTTAGGAAATTTGATATGTTAACCCATTATTAATTCCGTCATTGACTTCAAAGGGCTATGGGGTTGTTCTGCTTGCCTGACAAGGTATATTGCACTATATAGGTAGGCCGTTGGTCGGATACGTCAGACTGATGAAGCTATCTATTATTGATTCCTTTACTGCTGTAATTACTAAACCGATACAATTGATTGTAGCAAAAAATATTGCCTTATGTTTCTAGGTAGTCATTTTGTCAGTGTGGTATTTTTACCTTCTGGAACAATACGAGACACATTTGCATGATAGCTTTGTTTTTTAATGAATGGTTTGTTTACATCTATTGACTTGGTGTGGTTTACTTGACATCATGTAGCATAAATAATGCTATCAGGCCACAGTAAACCATGATTGTGTTTGTGTTGTATTTACTAGGATTATATATCAGTATCTAAATTTAGTAAATACACGTAAACAATTATATTGAAATATGGTGTACTCTTATCAATTCAAGGTCATTTCCTCAGATTTGTTGATTTAAACTTTTAAATTGAACTTCGCCACATTGAAAATTGAAATATTTCTTTTGTAGGAATTATCATTTCATTTGTGTAAAGCATTATTTGTGCCATTTTATTTGGTAGCTGAAATTTAATCTTGAAACATACCCCTAGCAACAATATCAAGTTTAATTTATGCACTAGAAATATATTTGTGTCTGTCCATACATTCTTAGGTTCCTTGGCAGAGATTTCTTTCTTACGACAATTAATTTTCATCCGATGACTTATTTTTATGCTAAGAGCATTTTCAATGCTCTTCAGCATGTTGCTGTTGCCCCTGGCCCTGAGTATCAGTACTTTGTTTTCATTGGTTCATAAATCGAAAGTTTACTCCTACTCCATCTGGCGGACATTACCGTACAAGTTGCTGATGCTAGTCATTAAATGAAACAACCTTATCGACTTTTTCTTCATTACTTGTACATCAAGAAAACGTTTTGTGTTGTGTATTAATGATAATCAGACATCGAAATTTGTAAATCCAATGACAAAGACTCACGTTTTATGGTGGTAAATTTTGCGAGGCGATGCCAATATGGCGGCTGAACTTTCTTTTCCGCGCGATGCATTGTGGGTGTCATATATCTTTCTTTTTTTTCTTTTCGAAAATTTTCATTATGTCCTTGTCGTTATTATGGTTGGGGGTCACTATACTGGTGTTTGTGGGATGGAGGTGGGGAATGGGGCATTTTAAAGTATTTCTATAACTCACATCTCACCCCAAGTATTGATGTCTAACTATGTCCTGTCTTTAGGGATTGAGATCCGAGTGGATCTGAAAGTCGGGTATGAGAAGATCTTGATGTAAAATGTTTGTTAAAATTGATGTTAAATTAGAATCTAGTTAACATTCACAAAGTAACTGTCATGCTTATTTTAGATCTATTAGTATGTGGAACAGCTCTAAAACTTTCTGACATCATTTATTTTCCTTCAGTATGTGAAATATACGACTTTGAATTTTATTCCAAGTTTATCTTTTACTGTAATTCAAAATAAAAATGTTGTCTTCTATTTTGTAGCAACTACGGCATGATCATCTAGTGAACCTTATAGAAGTGTTTCGGAGAAAAAAGAGACTCTATCTAGTGTTCGAATTTGTGGACCATACAGTTTTAGATGAATTGGAAAAATGTCCAAATGGTCTTGATGAAAACACAGTGAGAAGAATACTCTGGCAAGTGCTTAAAGGAATAGAATTCTGTCATTTACACAATGTAAGTTGAAATGTTAAGTCTTGGATCACTGTATTTTAGCTGGATACTAGTTAAACAATGCCTAGTGAACTGTATGTTTTCCAGATTTCACTTTTTTCTGTAAGAGTTGACCAACTTAGGTAATTGACTTCAATTTGGTAAACTTTTATGTAGTATGACAGGATCATTATTTGTAATATATTTTTCCTAATTTTCAATGGTTATGAAAGTTTAACATTAAGTTTTCCAGTGCTGATATATAGATATACAACCATTTTTGTGTTTATTTAACAGATTTTTGTTTTTTCATCAAAGACCATTTTCTTCAAAACACAAATTTCATATTATGAAAAATGACTACCACATCGATGTTAAATTTTGTTGCAGATCATTCATAGAGACATCAAACCAGAGAACATTTTAGTCAGTAAATCTGGAATTGTCAAGTTGTGTGACTTTGGTTTTGCACGAACATTAGCACAGCCAGGAGAGACATACACAGACTATGTTGCTACTCGGTGGTATCGGGCCCCTGAACTCCTAGTAGGGGACACCAAATATGGCAGGTAAATATATTTTAGAAAATCTGGTAGGGACAGATAACTTTCTTTTACTGAATCATGCTGTTGTCAGCCCCTAAACTCTTGGTAGGGGCAGGTAACAATATTTTACTAAATCTCCCTGTTTTCAGGCCTTATAGTCCTGATAGGGGATGGAAACTATATATATTACTGAATCTTGCTGTTGTCAGGCCCTAAACTCCTTGTTGGGGCAGAAAACTATGTTTTACTAGATCTTACTGTTGTGTCAGCCCTTAAACACCTTGTAGGGGCAGATAACTATTTTTTGCTATATCTTGCTGTTGTCATGCCCTAAACTCCTGGCAGAGGAAGGTAACTATATTTTACTGGATCTTGCTGTTGTGTCAGGCCCTTAACTCCTGGTAGGGGAATGTAGCTATATTTTACTGAATGTTGCTGTTGTCAGATCCTAGGCTTCAGGTAGGTGACTCTAGAGGCGCCTGTATTCTATTTTGATGTAGTGTTTAGAGCATCCAATAGCATAAGTTTGAACCTCTTCATGGTAATCAGTGAACTGATATATACAGGCACATGATGTAGTTTGCAATGACATCCAACAATTTTTATATATCATACCTCACACCTCTCGCTATGAACCAAACATAGTAAATCTGCTATTTATCACTGTATATAGTATTATCACATTTGGAAGAGAAATAAAAAAAAACATTTTTCTTATTAGTTCAGCTGTTCATATCTTATAACTGTTAAATGTAGACATTTCCAGTAGATTTTTTATGTGTATTTGATGGAAACCTTGGTCCAGAATAAATACAATGCACCTTTGATGAACTAGGCTTCATAACAAGCCTTATTGAGCCAATTGGATATAATTCTGTTGATATAATAATTGAACTCAGACTTTAAAGTGGCAAATGGAAAGTAAACAGTGGGAGAGATACACCCTTCATAGAATTCTCTCATTCGTGTAGAGTTCCTTCATTTGTACATGTACAGAAACTGTACTTAAGCAATCAATATGATTCGTAGGGTACAGTTATAGAAACAGGATAATTCTTTTTTAATTAATACTTTTCATTTTGTTTTGGATTACTCTTTAATTTGTTGAATATGAAATATGGACATGTAGTATTATTTCCTACTTCACAGTCACATTCTTGTTTTTGCAAAGGAATGATATAATGTGTTCTTTCTTGGTAAAAGGACAGTTCATTCATTCACAATAATTGTCTTTACTATATTTTTTGAAACAATATTAAAACAAGATAAAATGCCATCAATTTAGACACACATTTCATGAGCCATTTATGATGGTGCCATGTACCTAGTTTACCAAATCACACTTTAAGGATGAGAAACTGTGATATATTTATGAAAGAATTTTATGAACTTTTCCATTTTTTACTACTTTTCCAACTTGTTTCCTGGGAATAACATGCACCTTAATTTTGATTGACTTTTATTATATAATCAGTTATTTTTCCAAAAAAAATTGTACATTTTGTCCCAGATTTATTTGTGATAAAATGTGGTAAGGTTCAAGAAATTCACTTGTTAGTTCTGAGTTATTTGATGTAAAGTAAGTAAAATTTGAAATTGATGCTGCATGATGTGTCATAAGATATAGCCTTGAGTGACCAGGTAAGGGTTATCAACCCCTTCCCCTGAGGATATCAGGAAAGCATGTGACAGAGGGTGTGTGGATTTTCCTGGCTAGATTGAAAAGAAATTGATATCGAACCTTGATATAAATCAAATCATCTTATATATTATTGTGTTCTTGCAGGGCTGTGGATGTATGGGCAATAGGATGTTTATTAGCAGAGATGTTGACGGGAGAACCACTTTTTCCTGGTGAATCAGATATAGACCAACTTTATCATATAGTCAAGTGTTTTGGTAAGACTGGAAGGTCCTAAATCGGTTTTGATATATATATGTATCATCATACTACTTGGATTGCTGAAATGCTTCACTTACAACGGACCATAATTTGGGGCTATATATGTGTATATATATATATGCAGCTGCCCTCTTAGTGTCCACATTCTTCTATGAGTTTACAGTCTATTCTTCATAAATGGTAAATTTTACCTGTAATAACATGCAATTATGAAAGGTGTCCATAATAGACTGGTGTCTTATAAATGAACATATGTATAGAGGTTCAAAAGTGTCATATGTAAGCAGGATTCCCTTGTATACCAAGGGGATGCAATAACTCATTCAGTTAAAACATTGGTCTATATTACCTGAGGTGAAGATCTGGGGTGTGTGGTTCAATTCTCCCTACCAACATACCTGTAGTAGTTGCTATTTCTTCCTGAAAAACAGACCAGTCTATACTGATTTTATTGTGTTTTTAGGCAAGACTCTTTAACCTAGTTGCTCATGAAAGCATGTGACAGGCCTCCCATATGTTGTTCAGTGAAGTAGAAATCAGCTATTACAAGGAGAGTCTGCCTTCTAAATGAACCTAGCTCTTCTTCACAGAGCAATAAACCCAGCAAATTCTCTCAAACTCTATATTCACATTTTATATAACTGTGCATGCAATTATAGAACTTATCCTCTGTAGACAGGTCCTTGATGTATGATACAGAGGAAAACCATCTGCTTTACATTTACATTAATACTTGTCATTTTGGATAGTGTTTGAAGATGTGTACAGTTGAGGCTTGATTTATTGAAGTCTATAGTACATCAACTTACTGATAGTATTTACTATAAATTTACTAAACAAGTTTTAAAATCTTAAGTCATAAAATAAAGTTGATTACAATATTTTATTGAATTATTTTAGATATAAGTATTTCCTGATCCTGGATTTTTTCAGTTGTCACCCATTTTAATTTATCATTGTGACGAATTGATACAAGACCATCCCTCTACAGACAAGTGGTTACCCTGTGTGTTAGACAGTCACTTACACATTTATTTTGTGTTTTAGGAAATTTAACTCAACGCCACAAGGAAGTGTTTCTAAATAATCCTATGTTTGTTGGTATGCGGACACCAGAAGTACGAGAAGTTTCACCTCTAGAAAAAAAATTTACAAGGATATCGTCATTTTCACTAGATGTAATGAAGGTAAATTGAAAAAAAAATTTGTCAACACCTTTTGAAGTAGAGGAAATAAAAACAGTCTCATGAAAAAGAGAATAATCAAAAACATCTCTGACAATATTTTTTCTTAGATACTTGAAATTGAAAATTGCAGCTACATGCTGAATTTTATCAGTAAAGAAAATATGCTGCTGCTTGTTTGATATGTGTATTGATTTACATCTGTTTGTTTTTTTTTAATCACACAGCAATGTTTGAGACTAGATCCTGATGATCGACCAAGCTGTTCACAGTTGCTGAAGCATGAGTTTTTCAATAAGGATGGATTTTGTGCCCGATTTTCTCAGGATTTGAAACAGCGAATACAACGTGAAAATAACAACAATCCACTTATCAAATCTCAGTCAAGTGAAAAAGAGGATGACAACAAAGACGATTCCAAGTCAAATTCAAAGAAAAAGAAAAAGGCATCACAAGCTGACAACAAAGATTCAAAGGATGGCAAGGTCTATCCATTTATTTAAATTTCGGAAATATGAAGATGGGAAATTGGTGTTACTCTCCATTGAATGGTTAAATGAAAATATTGTATGCTCAAACAGATTGTATGAATCCTGCCTCATTTTACTAAAAACTTACTACTCAAAATTAGTTTGCAAAATGTTATACATTAAAACTGTTTTTGAACTTAAGTTTAGACTGTCTATATTTCTCATAAAAAGTAATTATTATTTCAATTAGCTTCTTGTAAACTGCAAATACCTTTCCATTACTGCAGATTCAGTTTTCGGATAAGCTGTCAATGTATCAAAAGTTTATAACAAACGTTGGTATTCTCAACTTGTCATTGTTATGTAAAACATACAACAATGTTTTCACATCTTTACTATTCTTTTCACTTTTAGAATTACTACTCTAATACTTCAGTGCTGTGCAAACAGCTAGTTTGTCACTTACAACCATTTGCCTGGCATATCTTGCAGTTGTTTTCCTTTGTACAGGACACTTTATCAATAGATTTTGTTGGTTCTGTAAGATTTAGATATATTAATAAGGTAAACCATTGATAAAATAGTTTTATTTTAGGAAGCCTAGTGACTGAAAGATCTGCTTACATATTTTTATGTTGAAAATACTTCCACCAAAGTGTGTGTCTTAAAAAAGGCAAAGATTTGAATCCAAGCTGACAGTTTATGCTATTTTCATGTTTCAGGGTTCCAAGCAAGATAGTGAGGACAAACAGAAAAAGAAAGTGTCAGATTCTGAGAAAAACAACAAAAAGTCAAACTATGTCAATGGTACTGTGAACAATGTGAGTCACTCCAAGTCAGGGGAGACAAACGAGCAGACAGACTCAAAAGCAGACAGGAAGTCTGAAAAAGACAAACGGACAGACAAAGAAAATGTGAAACAGGATCGAGAGTCAAAAGTGGACAAATATGAAAAAGACAAAAGTGAAAAGGATAAGTATGAAAAAGACCGTCATGATAAAGAGAGTAAGCATGAAAAGGATAAATATGATAGTAAAGAGAAACATGATAAGGAACGACAAGATAAACACGAAGTCAAGGACAAACATGATAAACATGATAAACATGATAAAGATCGACAGGACAAAGACAGAGATGGGGAAAATGGTCATCTGAAGGAGACTTCTGGAATGATTCCACCCATCAACAGCACTGGTCAAACTATTCATCTGTCCACCCCACAATCTATGCCTTCTATTGGAAGGTAAGTCTGAAGATAGGCACTGTTATATTTTCTATGAGATGGTCTAAAGTTTGAAATAAGATTTTTTATGTTTTTGGATTCACTTACTATTCTGTGTACCATTGAATATCCTGAAAGTGTCACTTTAATGTTTATTTTATATTCACAACTATTGTTAAAAACCTATCGTTGTTTGACTGGTGTGAGTTGACTGATTAGATTTGATGATTAACTTAACTTACAGTTTTATCTTGTTTTCACCCTATTTTTCTCTACGTCAGTATGATCCCCACTTTTGGCAGAGGTCAGATTGTAATCTTGAATATCCATTTGGCTATTTCTCTGTCTGTTTTTTTAACATATTGGCCAGATATAAACTAGAATTGAACAAACTTTCCTAAAGCATTGGTTTTATAGATCTCCATAAAAGGCACAGCTACAGCATTGTCATGATCTGTCATGAGAAAAGAGGATTTGTATTGTCCTTGTGTTTTCCTCGAAACATCATGAAAGTTCACAAAAGTATCCTGATATATTTCTTGCAAGAAGGTTAAAGGTCAATTTACTGATGATCTATATCAAGGTCACCACTATACAAACAGTACATCATCATTTGAAATTTAGCTTGTCCATAAGTTCTTTCATAATACTAACTTTAGCTGATATTTCTTAAGACACTCTTCTGCACAGCCTGTTTGTTAAAACACCTGCAAGCCGAACTTTAAGAATATCACGCAAAAATTTTAAGTGATAGTTTCACTTTATTGTTGGTGGGTGGATAATAAATTGTTTATGTTATTCTTGTTAAAGAGATAAATTATGCTAGTGCAAGTCATCTGTTTCAGTCAACTCTGACTTCTGATATAAACTTTGTCTGAATTTTGTTTCTCATTCACCAGTGTTGTTAAAAAGAATTCACAGGTTGAACGATGCAAGAAATAATTGTGAGTTTATACTGTACAAAGTAGGTCTAACAAGTAATATTTATTGATCACAATAGCTATCTGCTAGAATACAAGTAGCTGGTACATTGTGTATGTAGTATTATTAACATCAGTTGTCTAGTTGATTCAGAAATCTTTGTCATGTCATACATCTGAAGGTATGAGATAGAAATTTTAGAGGTAGGAGATAAGTATAATTTCATTAATCATTGCTCGTTTTGGAATTTTAGCTCAAATCTTTGTTCTTATTATCAATTGAAGAAAAGTGTTTTATGTGGTACATGGTTTGAAGTCGTTAAAGCTTTTCATTTGTGATACTCTAACTTCTGCTGCTGATTTAATCATGTTCCAAAAGGCATCTTAGATAATTTTATGTCTACAAGTATTGAATAAGCTGACAAGATGTAGACAACATGCATGCATTGAAACACTTAGTCTTTGATAGAGTCTTGGCTTACAGATCAACCACATGTACATGTAAAAATTAATTCTACACTGTAAAAAATAAGCCTGTGTGAAGTATTTCAGTGTTGAGGCAGCAATTTGACTTGTTTTTGAACTAATTTTGAATCATACAATATACATTTGGAATTTTCTTAATAATTGTATCCCAAAGAAATTTCTTATGAATTAAAAATTCAGAGGGCTTTGTAAAAGGCAGCTTCAGCAATTTGTAATATACTATGATAAATAAGCTTTGTATTTGAGATTCTAGAACTACCACAGTACAGATGATGATGTGGTAAAGATAGCTTTTTTGATACATTTTGCCTTGGAAATTAACTGGAAATTTAGATCCCCTTTATGTTTATTAGTTATTATGAAGTTTATGCTTAACTACGATAAATAAAATACTTAAAAATATCAACTGGAAGTACATTCAGATAATGATACATTCAGCTATGATTGTCATTTGTAAACTGTAGAAGATTTTCTTTCATGGGAAAGGGTGTAAAATACTGGCTTTGATATAGATAATTGATTTATATAGAGGTCACTAAAGTCATCAGAGTTATACAATTCAAAAAGGATAACCACTTGAAAATCTACTTGTATCAAGTGTTTCAGCTGTGGATATTCATTATGTAACATTTTATTTCTTTTGACGCCTCATTGACTGAGTGATATATGTCTGCTGGAACACTAAGAGATTTTAATGAATATATTTTCATATTGTTGTATTTGTTGTAGGACAGATATGAAGTTTTACTACCTTTGCTTGTGTGATATATACAATAACGAGCTAATGATGGTGTGTTCTGTTTATATCTACAGACAGTTGCTAGTCATAAGCTCACAATGTCTTAGCTTGGTCAGGTATTTCAATCCGTCTTTATCCTGCTGTATCTATATACTGCTCTAACAAACACTTCCTCATAGCTCTAGCTTATATAATACATGCAAACCTGTACTATCATTCATCATCTACAAAATTTTCCCAAGTTAATTTTTTTCCATATTGTGATCTGCTTTTATTTTGAATTTACATTTTGTACCTATCTACTTTCAGTACAAATTTAAGAAAATAACACGGTTGTGTGATACTAAAAACAAATTTGATAACTTGTACCATAATTTGATAAAAATATTCTTACTTCCTGTATATTCTGACTTCCAGAGTATTCTGACTATCATTAGTGACAGGCAGATAATTGAAAAATTAATTGGAAAATATATTGATTAAGGAAATAAAAGTAACTATATGTGGTGTGATTAACTCCCAAATTGCAAAGATTATTAATTGGTAAAGTTTAGGAAGGACTTGAGATATTTAAGAAAAGCAGAGATCACCTGGAATTCCTTATATAAAGTTGTTGATTTATAGGTAACTAGTAGCCTTCAGAGGTAGAAAATATTAACAATAACAGATTAAAACCAATTGACAAAATATTCACAGCAAAAAAACAAACAAATCAATTAAAATCAATTATTAATTCATTATGTATGGAAATTTATAAATAATTAAACTGAATCGATTCCTATCACTGCTGTTTATGATCAGGATGATATCTGATAAAACAGGTTTGTATGTACATACATGGTAACTAATCCGTAGATCTCGTACAAGCTTATACTGGCTATACCTTTCAGGTATTTACATTTTAAATTTATTCATCTAAGTCCCTATCATCTAGCTCATAATGACCATTGATAATATTAGGTAGGTAGGTAGGTATGTAAGTAGGTAGGTAGGCAGTGAAAGGATTACTCAATCAATAGCACCCCCATTGGATGGATCTAAACAACTAAAACAAAGGATTTGATAAAGCTTCATAAAAAGAAACAGGGTGAAAAAATGTCCCTTATACAGCCATTCCTCTAGTAACATAATGTTAACTTCTATTTCCTATTTTGTGGTCGTCAATCTTCAGGCTCAAGCTCTCTGGACATATCGCTGGATATTTTAAGTTTACCTATAACCTAGTATTGTCACTAATAGGTCATACAACTGATTAGACTTTGATGGTCATCAATCTGTACACTCTGGCTCCCTCACCTTATTACTGGTAACTTCTGGTTTAAGTGATGGTTGGATTTTTGTGGTCATCAATCTGTACACTCTAGCTCCCTCACCTTATTACTGGTAACTTCTGGTTTAAGTGATGGTTGGATTTTTGTGGTCATCAATCTGTACACTCTAGCTCCCTCACCTTATTACTGGTAACTTCTGGTTTAAGTGATGGTTGGATTTTTGTGGTCATCAATCTGTACACTCTAGCTCCCTCACCTTATTACTGGTAACTTCTGGTTTAAGTGATGGTTGGATTTTTGTGGTCATCAATCTGTACACTCTAGCTCCCTCACCTTATTACTGGTAACTTCTGGTTTAAGTGATGGTTGGATTTTTGTGGTCATCAATCTGTACACTCTAGCTCCCTCACCTTATTACTGGTAACTTCTGGTTTAAGTGATGGTTGGATTTTTGTGGTCATCAATCTGTACACTCTAGCTCCCTCACCTTATTACTGGTAACTTCTGGTTTAAGTGATGGTTGGATTTTTGTGGTCATCAATCTGTACACTCTAGCTCCCTCACCTTATTACTGGTAACTTCTGGTTTAAGTGATGGTTGGATTTTTGTGGTCATCAGTCTTCAAGCTGTAGCAGTCCTGACTTATTGCTTGATATATATACATGATAGTTCTAAGATAGTACAAAAAACACAAACGAATAGCACCATTCTGTTGCATCCTTCTAGGACTCGTCAGTGGCTCTAAAAGCCTCAATATTAAACCTATACTGAGGATAATCCTGTGTGATGGAATGAAATGTCTGAATTTAGATTGGAAGATGCACTAGCCCTATGATTCAGTGTTATTTTCATATATCTGGTAATTTTAGAAGAATGTCTGGTATATGTGTATATTCTGCGTGGCATCGTAAAATTGCCTCTTAGACAGATTTACTTCATATTGTCGCAGAAGTATTATTATAATATCAAGTTCCATTTTAATTTAGTAGTCATAAGTTGACATTAAGTGTCAAAGTCGTATTTTACTTAGCTGTCAAAAGTGAAGATAAGGATCATCATAAGTCAAGATTAAGGATCAAATTCACACTTCACTTCATTTTCATAAGTCAAGGTGAAGGGTCATCATCACACTTTACTTACTTGTCAGAAGTCAAGAGTAAGGGTCAAAGTCACACTATATGTTTTTTTTAATAACAAGTAAAACAAGACTTTTTGTTAAACAAGAGTATACAACATTTATGCAGTTACAGGCCCATGTCTGGTAATAAGCCCACCCATTATTTAGGTTTAAGTGTCACCAACTGCTGTTAAGTCATACTATTAAAAGCCAACTCTCCTTTTCTGATTCTTGCTTTACTTATTTAGAAATAAAATGGTACATAACTCCTGAATAGATTCTGATTGTCAAAGCTAAGGATCACTATCTATATACCCAAGATACTTCTAACATATGTTTATTATGTACAAAAACAGGGTTTGTATATTAGTTTGATAATGCATATACAATGTACTATCATTATTTCACTTGTTCATCCTTGCAATAGCTTGCAAAAATTAAGTGTGGTTCCCAATATAGCAGTAAAGATTGAGGTTTCTGTATTATGTTACCCGGGTAATGAAATTATCATTGGCTTTAAATAGATAAAAAAAAGAAGAAGAAGAAAAAAGGAAATTCTCATACAATTCATCAAATTCAAAATTTTCAAATTCAAAGTCATATTCGATAGATTATTTATGGTTTTATGTTTTTATGACTAGAAACTCGGTGTTGCAAAGGATTTGAATCAGGGAATCTTTCTAGAGACACCAGCATGCTGTAGTTAATATGCACTGAGACCACTCCTGTGCTAGTTACCTATTCACAGTTGATTCTGAAATTATCAATGGATTTTTTAAAATTAATTATTCACTCAGAAGCGTGTAATTGCTAGACCCTGTATTATCAGCACACCACACTTGAATTCCAATTAATAATCTAATCAGATAGATATAGATAAAATCACTTAATTAGAATATAAAGTTAACAATTTGTTCACTCATTTAAAGCCACATTATTAAAGTTTTTTGCATATGTTGGCAAATAAGAAATCCTCGGATATACACACATACTTATTTATAATATATATTCACAATTTTAGGTATTTTATATGAAATAAGTCAGAGACCTGTACCAACCTAAAGTATGCTAAATTTAAATACCATTGACATCAACCTATCTCATACATATCTGTATAATATAATATTTATTAATCAATTTTAATTGCATATCATATAAAGAAAGGTTCGTAATGACTTGCCTTATTGTAAATAATGAAAAGACAGTCATTATTTGGGTATTTTCTTTATTATTTTGAAAAAATTAGTACCCAGGAATATGAAGAAAAAATACAAACTGAAGCTGTCTGATTTATGAACAATTATTATTGAGAAATGAAAAACACAAAGATATTCTAAAATATGATCTATGTAGCCTTTTTCTTAGTGTTTTGCCTGTGTATTATTTTTACAGTCCAAATATGGCCAATGTTTCAACAGTAAACAATGTGCATATATCAAGTCCATTGGGTAATGCCCCATATGCGGGGCCTGCTCCGCTGAGGTAAGCCTACAGATGGCGCCATACATGCATGGTACTCAGAGTCTGTTACAGGAATTGGAGCTAACATTAACACGTTGCTAAGACTAAAAAAATACAAACAACTTAAATTGCCTCTCTTAATTCCTCACTTTGAAAAAGGTTATATCCAGGTTTTTTGTATTATTGAACCAAAATATGATCTGATTTTTAATATCTTATCTTTCAAGTCAAATTTTGCCTTTGATTTATGCTAAAATAAAATTAGATAAAAGAAATGTTCAATGTCAAAAAAATTTAACTACTTGGAATGATGAAAATTTAAAGTCAGGAGATTATTGAGGTTGCAATTAAAAAACACAGTGTCCTCTGTCAAAACTAGACTTTTACGAAATAATTGTGTTGTGCCAGAACAGTATATACGTTTTGTTATCTATTCAACTGGCACTGGATCATGTTTCTGTCTATAGTGCACTGTCATGGCAGTGTGAGACTCTTATTTATATTTGATATTTTTAGAAATGGAATGATAAAATAGAGCAATTTTAACAATATTCTTGGCACAATTTCTAGGGGATTGCCTATCATATTGTCAACATCAGTAAAATATAAATACAACCAATATACTACCAGATACTGCCTTATCTCTGACTGAATTTACAAACGGATGTAGACCCCTTTCTGGAAGTCTTAGAAAACGTTTTTATGAGGTCCTTGTTGTGTCCAGCTTAGACAGAGGACACTGTACATGGTTTAATCAGAGACTTGGTTAGTAGGTACTTTTGGTAACAGCTGTGTTAAAAAGGGGTCAGTGAAGCTGGTTGGTATTATAATGATTTGATCATGACCGTAAGTACTTCAGTACTTTGGTACTGACATCACTAACTTTGTTGTTATATCATACCTATATAGCCAAATTGATTTATGTGAGGAAGATTTGGATTGAAAATATATTCTTTGAGTTAGATACAGTGAAGCCTGCCTTAAAGACCTGCTTAAACAATTATACAAGTTCCAAATTGTCCAAAATGATGTTTTATCCCCTTTCTACATGTACTTGCTTGTAAAAACAAGACTACTTCTGTGAGTCTCATATCTACTTTGTCCTTGAACAGTCTTAATAGTCAGGTTTTACCGTGTCTACATATTTTTTTTTTTATATATATATTTTTGTGATGTTTCATATTTGTATTGCCGTATTGTATAAGCTTCAATGCAGTTTGTGTTTAAGAAATTTTACAATTTGAAAATTTCTTGCAGCAATTATCTTCTATGATTATAAGATAGGAAACAAAGATTAGAAACTTCATTTCTACTTGCCACTCTATGACACTTCTGTTATTGCCATCCTCAATCCTTTTACTGTTTCTGTTATGTAGGACTAATGGCTGTCATGATTTGATTATTTCTCTATTTCTGTCAAGTAGTGTATATAATTTTATTAATGTTTAGTAGTTTAGGAATTGTAACATTTTAATATTAGTCAATGTCATCAGCAAGGGTGTGCATGTTAGTGCATAGCCTATTGAAGTGAAATGGAATACAATTAATTTATGGAAACAATCAGCATGAGAGTAGACGTCAGAGAGAGAGAGAGAGAGAAAGGAAGAGAAACAGAGAAAAAGAGAGAGAGAGAGAAAGAAAGGAAGAGTGGAAGGAAGAAAGAGAGTTAAAAAGGGGAACAACAGGAAAAATTATCAATTGCATGTACAATAAGGTTATTTTGGTCATTAGATCTCAGGACCAATATCGACACGGAGTAGCCCCCGTGCGACATGACATTCCTAGGTGAGTTTCTGTCTGGCTTGATCGTGTATCCCTGTCCCACATGGTAATATATCTAACACTCAGGCCACTATCAACATTTCTCACATTTTCAGGTCAAACACAATAAAGAAATGAAAATCATTAAGTGTTTTCTCGAAAATCATTTCTGAACATTTTTTTTTTATTTAGGACTTGGAAATTTGAAATACCAATTAATTTATACTTCATTAATATAAATCATTGGATTTCTAAATAAATATCAAACAAACTTCACAACTTCTTATCAAAATTCATTTTTGAAGTCTTATTCTATGAAAGTAGTTTGCTTGCAAATGTGAAAAAGTTTACCTTTTTTTTTGTTTTGTTTTTGTTGGTTTGTTTTTTGTTGTTGTTGGTTTTTTTTGACAACTGTCAATGTTCAAAAAACTCCTGTAAAATGCAAAATCATTGTTAATGCTATGAATTAGAGAAAAGTAATTTCTAAAACATCTGTTGTGTATTTTGTTTCAAATTCCAACTTGTCCAGGTCTTTAAAAAATTCATAAAAATGAAATACTGACTTTATATAAAAGATATTTTAATCCAGAAAATGAGTTGCTGTTTTCATAGATATCATTTTAGAAACGAAAAGGAAACTGAGAAGGGAAATGTTGGTAGATCCTGAACTCAAAAGGGAAATCCAAAACCCATCATATTGGAAAGTATATAATTTGATAAAAACATGTATGACATTTTATGTCATTATATGATATCTTGTATGTATTTGTTAGTATTGTACTGGTGGGGTAACAATAGAATTTATAGAAAACTCAGTTTGAAGTTTACAATAATAATAATTATATGTGAATTTAACAAAATGGAAACTGATTAATACATTTATGTACGTATGTCCGTAGAATTTAGATAACATTGTTCATACATAGGAAATTATTTACATACTAAAATTTAGATGTTATATTTTTGTTAACTTATATCTGTTTGTCAATATTTGACAAAGTTCATCAATATTTACTGAATCATGTCTTGGTATAACCTCATAACTGTTGTGGTGATGTAAAACCCAAAACCAATATATAAGAAAACAAAATTCTGCTAAAAAATGTATTTTCATTTTTTGTTTTTCTCACCCTCTATCTCTTGGAGAGAAATATGTATTTATAATTGTTTATTTAAGCTGTGAACAGCCAATCATTCCATCAATATTGGTAATAATGAATTTTGAATTTAGCAGAATTTTTCATTCTAGGTGTAATTGAATGTACCCCTTCTTTTCCTAAAAAAAAAAAAAAAAAATTGTGTTTTATTTCAATTGATCATATTAGTGATGTAACAAAATGTTTATGATGTTTTAAATAATAATAACAATTCATACCAACAAACTGAGTTTCATAACAAGACATTTTTATACATATTTGATGAAACAGTTGATCTATGTAATAGTAAAATTCACTGACATGTATATATTGAAAATCATAAGATCACTATTAATACGATGTTGTATTATTGATTTGAGTGTGTGGACATTTATCCTTTTTCTATACAGTATATTTACAGATTTTACATATGCCTTTCCCAGTATATAATCATCTTTTATCAGTTGAAAATTTGAAAATATAGAAGCAATTTGATTAACATATTTCTTACTGTTGAATCAGCTCTTCAAGTAATTTGTTAAAAATTATGAAATTCTTATTTATAGGTTACATTCCTAAATTTTTTTTTTCAGCCTTCATAAATTTTTAAAATGTTTTGATTCAAGCTTTAGGTTTTCAGCATTCGTGCCTGCTATGTACAGGTAGAGAAATTCTCTGTAGGTCGATCAATTGGATATAAGACTAGTTCTGTCCACCAGAGGTCCAAGGTTCAATAATTATGGAGGCTTTAATGTGGAAAATCATCTCTACATTGGTGGGGCAATCCCATCGATCTGCTTTTCTTTTCACTTCTGCATCAGGAGATAGATTTTAGAGTCACTATCATGTGTTGAAGTGTAGCAAGTTTGAAACTGAATAAGTCTACACTATTGTCAAATTACCATTGTAGCAGTTAATCTCTCAAACTTTTCCAAAGTGATAGCTTGGTTGGTTTCTTTTTCTCTTTGTTGTCATAATGCGCTACTCATTCAGGAAACACTAGATTTGTTGAATACAGGATAAGTTGACATATTTGCTCCTAAAGTCACAATAAGCATTTCCAGACTATAACTTATGGATTGAAAAAGTTAAATGAAATCATTCTGAGTGAATTTCAAAACTGAAAGTCTCCATTTTACACAGGGATAGAGATTTATCACAAGCTTGGTAAGTTGCCTCATCTAGCTTGTGTTTCTTATGAACCACCAAAATTTACCTTGAAATTAAAAGAGTATGCTTGATTCGTTTAATACTTGAAAAAATTTACCACAAAATTAGATATGTTAATGATAAAATATGTGTCATGGATATGTAGGTATATAGAATGTAGATAAATATTGTCATGTGGTTGGAATTTTAGTTTCCTGAAAATGCCTTTTGGATAACAAGTGAAACAGATTTGCATAAAAGAATGGAGATTAAAAGCGAGGGAAAAAAAGTAAAAAAAAAAATGGAAGAAAAAAAAAGCAAAAAAAAAATTGATGAATGTATGGATGAAATTTATATCATACTAAAGAATAACAAATTTCATGGTCAGGTCTACAGTGTTTGAATTCTGAAGGAACAAACTGTCCCAATTGTAGCATATTTGGGGTATAATAATTTATTATTGTTTAATGGATACAAGAACTTGGGTCATAATTAAATACATTTATGGTAAAATTTTGGTGGTGCAATTTAAGTCACAGATTAATCCTAAAAGATGCAGTTATTTCCATGTCACGTCAATTGGATGCAAACACTTCTCAATAAACTAACACCACTTTCTTCTGTGGAAGACTATACTGCTTCAAACCATAACTTCAACCTGCATTTACAGTATCCAAGTCTGGTAACCAAATTACAAACAGGCAAAAACATGTCTGATGAAACAATATACAACTATAGACAAGATTGAAGGTGCATGAACAAATATTGTGCTGAATATCACTTGATGCTATATCACACCTGTACTAGTTTGACCAGCATCTTTCAAGCACCTGTGTGCTGAATGAGTTTTAAGCACACATAAGGCTTTTTCTGACTCTTGGACACACACAGTTTTTCAGATTTCTTACAGTTCTTAATCATGTCTTGATTAATTAATTCTCAAAACAGTTTGAAATGGAGTATTTTGGGAATAGCCTTAATTATTCATTATTAAGTAATGGGGTTAATTAGTTTAAGTTGAAATACAAAGTTATGACATCTTTATTGAAATTAAATTGTTGTTTTTTAAATATGTCATGATGATTAAGATGATGAATGACACTGTATATTAAGAAATACAATTTCATAAATCTACTGTTAGCTTTCAGGGTTGTTGTTGCTGTATTGTTGCTAATGAATATCTCCCTAGGGGATTTTTGCATTTGATTGTCACAAAGTGAATGATATGTCTTGAATTATTATGGGATATTAACAAAATTCACAAAATTATTATGAAGTAAGACTTCTTCAAACAATTACATTTTTTCAGGGTAAGTGATAAAGTTATTAAGAAAACATCCAGCAACTTCACAAAGAAGACACTGTTGACAAATCACCATAGCAACACCATCAGTCCCCAGCCACTCCAATCGGAGAAGAGTTTCCTTCATGATAAGTCTCTGACACGTGTCAAAGCTCATAGTCCAGACAAGAAGGAAAAGGAAAGTCTAAGTTTACCTGAACTGAAAGGTGCTGAAGGTATGGCTTTCAGAACAGGTAATCGTCACTTTAAAAGAAACACTTGTTCTATTTAGTTATTCCAGTGTAATAAAACATTGAGCTAGATTCAGTGTTTAACTTTTTATCAATGTGCATAATCCAATAAATTTAGCTATATCTGTCTGGACACATTATTTCTACAGTTTTGTATGGTAATCTAAAGCACAAAGTTTATAAAAATAAGATACCATTTTCCCTGACTTTTCTTGAAAATGTATATGTTTTTTTGTTACAGCTCACCCATCGAAGATGAAGTTGAAACAGCGTTCAACCGTTGCCACCATACCACACATTACCAACTTGGATCCTTTCAATGCTAACACATCGGGTCAGGTATGACCAATGATAAAGTTTACCATTTCTGGTTGGTATCCTTCCTTCTCTCTATTGGCTTTTTCTGCTGTGGTGAGGCGGCGGCCTATTGAAATGCATTTGGATTGAATTCCAGGTGATGGATTTGATTAACAAGGGCTGATGGAAGAGTTGTTGTTATGTTTAGGGTCCTTCATGAAAGGAAGTATTCAACTTAGCTAAGAATAAAGGAATTAGTTGTTTATGCTCAGTCTCCGGAAAACCTGATTCAAAAGAATTATTTCAGAGAAAAAATATTCACCTTAGAAAAGTCTGAAGTACGATGTACATGTATTTCAGTTTGGCCTTTCATTGTAAGCTGTTGATTGGAGAACAATATACCTCCGGTGTTGACTATCAGTTGTATTTCATTGTTAAGGGTTCTTTTTAGGTCGCCTGAGCCTGAGCCTGAGCCATCATGATTTGTCTGTCGTCGTGCGTCGTGCGTTGTGCATTGTGCGTCATGCGTTGTTAACTTTTCACATATTCGACTTCTTCTCAAGAACCACTGAATGGATTTTGACCAAACTTGGCACAAAGCATCCCCATGGGAAATTGCTTCAAGTTTGCAAAGAAAAAGGGCGTGGCCCTAATAGGGGCGCCAGGAGGGGGAAAAAGGGGATAAAATTAGGTAAATCTTTAAAAGTCTTCTTCTCATGAACCAACAGTCAGATTAAGCTCCTATTTGATATTTAGGGTCCTTATGGCATGGTCTACAAAGTTTGCGAATGAAAAAAAATCGGGTCAAAAACGGCCCCACTAGGGGGCGCTCAAAAGGGTCAAAAATTCAATTTTGACCGATTTCAACCAAATTTGGTAGAAAGCATCCCATCGTGAAGGACATATGAAATTATGTTGATAAAAACCGATTTTGTCCCCTTTGGGGCCCATAAGGTGTGTGAAAGGGGCCATATGTAAAAACCTTCTTTAAATGACTTCTTCTCATAGAACCATTGGATGGATTTTGACCAATCTTGGCACAAAGCATCCCCATGGGAAGCCACTTCAAGTTTGCAAAGAAAAATGGCGTGGCCCCAATAGGGGCCCCAGGAGGGGGAAAACGGGAAACTTGATTCGAATATTCTACACAAGGTCCTGGCAAGTGTTTTAACTTTTTGGGGCGATTCAAAATCCAAGATGGCCACCCTGGCCTCTGTTTGGCTAAGACATTATGGACTTCCTATCAAGAACCATTGGGTGGGTCAACTTGGTACAGATGTTTTACACATTGTCCTGCGCAAGTGTTGTTACATTTTTGCAACATTTTAAAATCCCCAGATTATTGACATATATTCCTTAGGTGACCATTAAGGCCCCTTGGGCCTATTGTTTAACTTAAAATCAGTTTTGATTGGCTTTTCTCCATCTCAATCTATATACTTCATACATATTAATTTTGCATTTACATTCCATAATTGAGGAGACAGAGAATAACAAAGAACACTATAAAGATGTCACTGGGTTGATAACAGAATCTCTGATTTTTTGTCTATGTTTTTCAATGTTTTCAGTTTTGCTGTTTAACTACATTCATTGTTGTATCTTAATCAGCTTGTTTTACATTAAAAGACTAATAATGCAGAGTAACTGAAGTGATTTCTACTTGATTTAAAATGGAGCTTTCCCGAGTATTATCGAAAAAATGTCCTCCTCATCTGGGCAGAGCTGTGGGCCCCAAAAATTGAATAAGAAGTTAATCTTTCAATAAATAGAGATAAAGGTATTATGATGTAATCAGCACAGAGATTTCTCATCTTTGTATTTCATGGTGAAGGATTGACAGTCATCGGGTTTTGTTATGTATTTCTTCAGATTTATTGGTTTACTTGTACTGCTTATAAAGCTTTGACTTTGCTGTGTTATTTTCACATTTCCATTGTATTACTATTGCATTGTACTACATATATTTCCCTAAACACTAAAAATTTTCTTGTAATAGAAAGTAGTAAAGAACTTTTTTTTTTTTAATTTTACAAATCATCACAGACTTATTTTTTATTCTTAAAATAAATATTTGATATCTTTTGTCCAAGTGGATTACTCAGATCGAATATAAGTTTTGTTTTATGATCAATTGCAAACAAACTGAACATTTACTGATTTTTTGTTCAACTTTCAGAGTGATGACAGAGATGGAAACTTGCCAGCTGTATGACAATTAACCTTGTATGGAAATATTTAAACATGAACATAAAACTGGGATAAGCCAGAGGTGGACGTGGGCTATTGAAAGAGGAAAGTGTGTCTGTTATTGAAGGAGTGATCTAGCACAGCAGGAAAAGAAAATTACTTCTTCACATTTACTAGAAATATTCATGGAAAGGACATGAACAGTTTGTGGGAATTGTGAAATTAATCATTTTGTATATATGGAGTCCTTTCCTGTGATGAAATAATGGAAGCTGTTGACCTTCCCAGGAGATGAAACCAATTATCCAATTAACCAAAGATGGCCATAAACATGGAAAAATCAACCTCACTGATTGTCTCAATGATATCCATTGGTTAGATTAGTCACTATGTATTGTTTCACCTGGTTGTCCAGTGTGATATATTCTATACAATTACTGTCTGAGGAAATCAAATGATTGTGGTTTCATTTTACTATTAAATCTATTATAAGCTAAAGCTGATTAAATTTAATCATTTCCCAAAGCATTTGCATCTGCAAGGAAAAAATTATATTGGGTCTGATGAATTACTTACTTGTATTTTGTTGCTCATGCAGTTCTGCCTCGGTTTTGTTTTAGTTTCGTGTTTAAGGATTTCCATACACCAGTTGGGTAGCATGGTGCAGTGGTTAGCACCAAGAAATCCTGATAACTGGGTCAGGAGTTTGTCTGGCACTCGTCAGTGTCCATAGATATTGAAAAACAGTATTATTTGGTCTAGTTGACCAAGCTGTAGTAAAATTGGAGGAAAGATGTTTATATTTCATAATTCAGATATTAAAATAAGTAAACTTTATAATATTGCCCCATAATTTGTAAGGGTAAGTTTATCTAGTCTACTAATCTCTATAAATGAAATGAACTAACTTAGACTTCTAAAAATGTTAAATACAGTAGCCTTAAAACAAACATTCTTACCAAGGGAGGTAATTAGGAATCAGCTTACTTCATTTAACAGAGTGTGATCAGAAAGAATGCAAAACATCATCCTTATAACATATTTTTATTATATATCTGTTCATTATGACACATGTAAATTTCTCTACATTGAAATTTAACATTTAACATCCATTTTGTTTTCCATGCATAGTAATGTTAAACATTTTGAAATTGAAATTATTAAAAGTCATTTTGATGTTTAAATTTTGCACAAGATAGAAAAATATCTGTAAATCATTCTGTAATCTATTTTGTGGTAATACCTTGTCAACTTTTATCTTTGAAATGTGAGATAGATATAAAACATATTCAGAGAACTGAAAAAAAAAATATGTTTTTATCAAAATTATTTTTGTAAAGATATTCAGCAACCTTGAAGGATTACTTCTGGGATCTAAATTGCCAGGGCTTTCTATTACATTGTTTATATAGTGTAGATAATTTTCTTTTCTTTATTTATTTAAAATCTAAATCAAGTCTTTCAAATGCTGATTTGATAAGCGTTAATACGGTTTACTCACTAGTTTTTATTTTCCACACATTTTGTTCTTGTTACTCAACCTCCCTAGTCCTGTTTTCATTCAAGTTGCAGTATGTAATTCTTAAGGTGAAGTTTTAGTTTTAGGAAACTAAACAATACCATAAAGATTTGATTACATGGGTTGCCTTTTAGAACTGTTTTCTGTTTTGTTTGTTCAGAAAATAAACATAAAAAATACATACCCAGGGGATTGGCTTGGTATTAATTTTCATATAAACTTAAAAGTTGTTTAAAATGATTTCTAGACTGTTATCTCATCAAGATACCAAGAATATCGGATGTTTTTGATTGATTGCAAAAACCTTCTCAGATTCTTCGTCTAAGGTATATTTCGGCAATATATACACTTGGTAAAAGTTGAATTTAGATAGTATCAAGATAACAGTGCTAAACTAATGTATGCAAATGCAATAAAAGTTCAAAAATAGTCGTTTGATTGAACAGTTCATTAACTTATTAATGATTTTATGAGACTATGGTAAGATAAATCTCACTGGTCCTCTAATGTGATGCTGTATTACATCATGACTAGAAATGTCATATACATGTAGTTAATTGCAATTAAAATGCATGACTGATCAACAATACAATACTATTCATAACATTGTTTTATCACTTATTATGTTCATTTGATACTTTCATTTCTTTTCCCAGTATTTGCTTTGCTCAAGATTGAAAATACTTTTTTGATAAATTTATAAATCTTAAAAAAATGATTAAAAAAAAATCTCTTTTTCTAAAGCAGTTACCTGATCACTTTTTCAATAAGAAATGGAGATAACCTTAGAAAGTCAGGGTTTAACATCAATCAGATAACAATTTATGGCATTTGTTTTTAGTCATTTCTTTTATTGTGTGGGAAACCTGATATTGATACAAGAAGGTGTGATGTGAATCTCAAGTATTTGTTATTTGAGAACTTTACTATATAGTGATCAAGTTCTTTTGCCAATATTTTCTGCAATATGTTACATTGATTCAGAACTAACTTATATTTTTATGTTAAATATTTTACTGGTATAGTCATTTGTGTGATATATATAGATTGACATGTGAAGTTTGCAATCTCCTAGTCTTGTAAAATTTCATAACTTTCTAGATCAGATAGCTACCATTGGCATAGAATGTTGCGTTATGGAAATTAAGTTATGTAAAATTGGTGATGCATGTTTAAATTGTTCATTATCATTCTTCTGTATGTTGATATGGTTTTACAGAGACTGGACAACTTTTGACTGGTAGGCTTGAACGTTAGTCAAATACTACTTACAAGGAGGTGAAGGAATGTTTGATGATAGAGTGGTATGAGATTTACGTTTGAGTATGAGTGTTTAAAGAGTAAATTCAAATAGAAATTATTTCACTTTTGAATACAAGTCCAAATTTAGGTGCTGTGCCAAAATTTAAGTATAGATTTCATTTATGCCAGTTCAGGACATTTAATAATTTCCCATTCAGCAGATGATTTAGGAGTGTAAAGGGCTGCGTAGGCATGGCACAACAAATACGCAGCTTTCATTCACACGTGATATTTCAAAATGGAAAGCATTTTTTGTAAAGTGAAGGATCTGATTCTGTGGGAGTTAGCTCCCTTATTTTAGACGACAAATTGACTTTACTCATTACAAAGTAATCTCCATTTGGCTTTTGTATTCGACTATTTACATGTACGTTGTATTATTAACAGAACTACTAGTACAGAGATTATATCTGTAAATAATTGTTATGAGTGTGTTCATGGATATGAATAAACTGAAACTAAGGACCGAGTGCAAGTCAGTGATGAAAGTTGTGAAAAAATAAACTTTGAGTGCAATGTAGTGTATGTATATATGTTGCATAATCAAATGGTTATCAAATATGGAATATTGTTTGTTTTGCAAAAGACCAATATACTGACACTATTGTTTTTACAATTTCATTAATGCTCTTTTTAAAACTGTGCATAATGTGATCATATCATAATATACTTATTGGTTTACATTATAGGGACTTTGTTGTGACATAGTAGTCCTCCAGTATATTTTGTGTGTAAAAATCTGTGTTTTATCTATGTAGCTATAATTGTAATATAACAGTGCCAATGTTTATATCCATATATCAGAAATGTTGTCTACAAAGAGAAGAAATTCAAACCAATACTATCCACTGAGTCATGATATCCAAGGATAACGTAGTTGACACAGATTTGTTGGCATTTTTCTTTTTTTTTTTTTTTTGTTTCATTGTTATGTTAATTTTTTGTCTTGAAACTGTATTCACAGGTGGGTGCTTGTAAAACTCAATAAACACAATTTTCAGGATAAATATTGCATGTTGTATTTTCACAACTTACATTCAGGGTTCCAAAGTCAATATGACCATAATTTATGATCATCAATCCATTCAGCAACGTCACTTCAGTGTCTACATTTCTGAAGATATTTGATTAAACTGTATGTTAAGGTCATATATCTGAGAATACCTTGAATGTTTTAGGGTGCTAAGGTCAATGTCAACATAGAAAGTCACACAACTTTTTCAGTGACTCCAGGCTTAAGCAACTTCATTTGGCAAAATAGCTCAATGATCAAACCATATATTATAAGATCATTTCTTACAAGAGTTCCTTAAATGATTTGTATGAGGGTTTCAAGATTTAAAAATCACTGTAAATATCTGTACAATAGCATCAATCACCTTTGTAACATTAGTAGAGTGACTTTTCCTTAAAGGATTGTTTAAGCAGACCTTAAGAAGAAACAATTCATCTGATCTTGTTTTGACATCTCTTTCTCGGGCTTTATGATCATGACAGTGAGACATTATGATGAAATAATTTTTGGGAGAGTAATTTTTGCCATGTTTTGGAGAGGTGGGCCCAGCCTAAATAAATGTCTTCAATTAAGTTACTTCATTTATGAATGTATTTTAATAAAAACTTGACCAAAGGCCATGGATGAGTTTAATACCTCAAGTTAGTTCATATTTCAGAGTTCCAAGATTAATGGCACCAATAACTTTTTACAGAAACCATTTTAAAACATGTCCATTAAGGATATCTTAACTCAGTAATTCATTTGTCTTGCTGATACATTGTGGGCATTTTGAACTTGTATGCCTTAGCCAGTATATGTATATTTCAGTGTGACAGCACTATAAAGTATAAATCACTTCCACACAATCACCAGGAGGCTTACCGTCCACAAACACACATAAACTCACCTCTTACACATTAAGAGACAATCTTTAAATGATATACATTACTGTTGATAGGGTGTTTATCAGTATTAAATGTGAAATCATAACCTTACCCATGGGAATTTGTGAATAAGACTATCACCATCATGCTTCATCTTGTATATCTTATAATCATTACAGGGTCTGTATTTCTGAAAACATTTACAGCCATTACTTATATATATATACACCATAAATAGGCAATGTATATATACTGGTATGTGTACCATTGCCAGAAATTTGAGGAATTATCTCCCTTTTAAACTTTTCCGAGTCAAAAGTTTA